GTTTTATGTGATGTTGATCAACAGGTAATAATTTTTTTTTTATTTTCATTAAAAGCATAGCCGAGCTCTTAGAAGTTTATTTATTTCGTTACCACACATATTGTGGAACGTTCTCAAAATGAAATGAGCGTTAGCCAATTTACGACTTTTTTTTTTGTGCGTATCAGCATATATTTTGTTTTTATTTTGCAATATTGATATTTGCAACAACATGCATAAAACGTATAGACTCAAATTTTGTATCTAGATGAAAAAAAAAATATTCTCGCGAGGGCTGCCTTTTTTGCAAAAGATTCTTGAAATTCGCCACCTGGTCTGTTCGAAAATTAATTAAACTAATTTTAAAGCACAATAATATTTATTTGGGAGCTTTTCCACTTTTTGGTGAAAAGTTTAGTATCTTTACACAAACTGAAAAACAAATTTATCTCGCAAAAAATGTACAGTAACGCGTAGAGAAGCATTCGATTCTTTTTTCGGGGTTGATGAAGGCGGCATGGAGGGTATTGAAACTTGCATTTTCTGCTTGTCATTAAAATTTCTAGTTGGTCATGGAGTAGCAGAAGTCAATACTAATTACATATGGGAGATTATTTTTTTTTAGCTGATGCGACTGATTTGTGCTGCGATTTACTCATGAAACAACTGATTGTTACGGGACTGACCGTAACACAACGGACAATTCGGGTAAACTATTTTTTTTATAAAAATAACTTACAGTTTGAATTTAATATTTTAACACCACAGGAACATATGTCTGTTTTGTCACTGCAAGTTATTTCTCATTGAGGTATTATAAAGAAATAGTATGTAAAATATCCTTTACATCTTTGACGCATCAACAAGGCACGCATTTATTTCTATTTATTCATAAGCAAAAACGATTATATGTTTTAACCCAGGATGATTGGCTCTTGTCATAAGACTTTCCTGAAAACGTGCTAAACAGTCTGCATACTTGAGAATTGAACATGGTTGGCACAAGTTTCTAAATCAATTTGTATATATTTCGCTATACCACTGACATTCAAGTCGATCACACTTTATTTTTTTTAATTCGGGAAAATATAAATATTTCGCAACACTGTATATCATAAATTGAAGCTGACGTAAGTCTACGATTTTATAAATCAGACTTCTAAAAGTTTACTTAGCTTAAATCAAAGTTCACGCCACTGAAACTTGTCTCGTAGTTAGCAGATACAAAACAAATCCTGAAAATACACATATGACGCATTCTAAACTCTTTTTTTTTTTTTTTTTCGAAAATAGGCTTCATTGTAAGAACTCAAATATTTATTTTTAGGACACCTGGATGCTATACCGTACAAACTATATCTTAGGAATGACGGGAGGAAGGCGTTTGAAAGTTCTACTTGACAGTCCCATTAATGCTTAATTTTCGAGACAATGAATCAACTATAAATTGGGCGGTCGGAAAAATTCCTGCGGTATCCAGGGCCCAGCGAGCGACCTCCCACGCTCGGGATGTTCCCCTGAGCGCTACGTCGGGGAGCAGTTTTGCGGCTACCGCCAGGATCGCTCCCATGAGTGTTCAGGATAAGTTGGTTGGCAACTGTACGCAAGAAATAATTCTCCAAATGTAATGTAAAAAAATGAATCAACACGCGCTTGCTCAAGGGCTACTCTCAGTTGCCGCGATATTGCCACTACCAAAAAACCCCGATGACCCCTGAATGACCTTCAGTCACCGAGGGTTCAAGCTAAGCGTGGACGCGAAAAATCAACGGTTGGTCTTTCGATCTTGGAATGCCACTTTTTTGAAGCAAGTTAAGGCGATTATCAAGGACACGTGGTCTTGGACGGCACGTTAAGACAATCGTTGAGGTTATCAACGTTTTGGACGAGTGGCCGGAGCAGCTGGCACTTTGACCTTGGAGTTGCGAATAGAGTGCACTACAATAGGGGTAGTGTCACGAATACCGACATTTAACCGAAACGCATAATGTAACTGTATTACCTTAAAAAAACAAAGAAAAACAACGGTGACGCCATTTTTTTTTCTTTTTTGCGTTTGCTCGCAAGCAGTCCTGGTGATAACGCTGAAATCAGCACACAGGGGCGGGCGCGCAAAGGGGCGCAAAGAGACCTATGCCTAAAGTCTTTAGATAACAGGTTCTTACAAGTGCGACATTCTTTGAAGCGTCGACCGCGTGACGGTGCAGGTTTTAGGAAGCGAATGGCGGCGCACAGGAGAGGTTTGAACTGAATGCCGCCATTTTGTTCCAGCGGGATGTGCTTTGCCATTTGTATTGGTTGTCGTCACTTGTAAAAGACGTAGCAAGGGACTTTATATGCCGCTACTTGTTCATCATTTTCAGCAAGTGTGCGTCAGATAAACTCCGCGCAGAGCTGTATACCTTAATATTTGCTTACCTGAAAGCTTTAATATAAAAAAGCGACATCACAGCAATGACGTAACGAATTCTACGCAACTTTCGAGCGCCTATTCACCCAAGCGAAAAATGCATAGTCATTGGTCCACGAACGCATACGCGGCGTTTCATATTTTGCAGGAGGCAGCTACAGCGCATTCTCGGCACGCGTTCCACGGCCCAATAAACAAAGATGTCAGCGTTTAGGTGGCAATCGTGGAAATGTTCTCTAGACGTTTGTTAGTACAGCTCCTGGGCGCCGCCATGTTACTGCTGGCGCGTGTAGATCGCCCGATAGTCGAGCCTGGATAGATAGATGAATATTAACGGCTCTACCCTCGATAACGAGCGGTAGCCTTTGCCACTCACACTCGCTGAAGTGCGCCTAGAGTTGCCAGACTGGCGCCGAAACGATCCGTTCACGGTGGCCAGACTAGCCTTCGACGCGTGACCGCTCGCAAACGTCTATAGACCTTTGCAGAATTCGCCTCCTGCGCGCTGTCATCTTTGTCTGCTGGGCTGTGGAATGCCTTCCAAGCATGAGCTGTTGATCGGCTGTGCGGTACAACGGACGCTGCGCATGCGTCCACAGCTCAGTGACTAAGCATTTTTTGCCCGCTCGATTCGTTCGAGACTGCCGCTGGAAAGGTCTATAGACCATCCCACTTTTTTGAAAAAAGGTAAAAACCCAACGTGCGAGGATAACGGTCCGACGTCGCGGGGAGAATATCGCTTGTCGAGGGAGGTGCGCATAACACGCACCAACATCCAAAATGGCAGCTGCCAGGAACCCGTTTGTAGAATGCTGTACTGTCGAGACCGGTTATAACGAAGTCGGTTATAACAAAACAGCGGCTATATCGAAGCGGTCACGATTTCCCATTCCCTTCTGCACTTCGTTCTAACCGAAGTCGGTTATAACGAAACCGCGGCTATATCGAAGCGGTCACGATTTCCCTTTCCCTTTTGCACTTCGTTCTAACCGAAGTCGGTTATAACGAAATAGCGGCTATATCGAAGCAATCACGATTTCCCATTCCCTTTCGCACTTCGTTCTCACCGAAGTCGGTTACAACGAAACAGCGGGTATATCGAAGCGGTCATGATTTTACATTCCCTGTTGCACTTCGTTCTAACCGAAGTCGGTTATAACGAAATAGCGAATAGAGCGAACTGATTTCCGATTCCTGCGGACTTCGTTATAACCGGTCTTGATAGTATACACGCTTAGCAAGCACGGCCTCTGCGAGCCGCTTTCTTGCTTCTCCTCTTTGTAGAATCCGCAGATCGTCTGATCGTAGCCAGACACCTCGACGAGCCTTTCCAAGGCGAGCCCGAAATTACCGAACTGCTGCTCGAACCAACGAATTTTATACACCCACGAGGACCAGGCCAGCTTTTGAAGCGCGTTTGCTAGCAAACGTGAACGACAGCGGCGTTTTGCAAGCCATATAAGGTAGCGAATAAATAAATAATACAAGGTGACTTATTTTTGTTTTATTTATACAACTTTCGCCAAACTGTTTTGTAGGAACCGGGGAATGAGGTTGAAACGCTCGAACCATCGTTTCCAAAGGAGCCCGCTTTTCCCACACGAGGTGTGGGCAATGCGCGTGCGCAGAGACCAAATTCGACAGGAATGAATCGTGTGCGCATCCGCGGTGTCGACAGCAGCGCCACCGCAGTGGCTTGACGTCAGAGCATCGAGTTGGTCCATGGACACTGACAGGTTCAGAAACTCGTCGTGCCGCAACCAATCAGATTGCAGCATTAGCCGATTACAGCGCAAAAGAACCAATCACGAAGGAATAGACGCGAAAGTAACGAGCAACGCACTGCGTTCCTTACGCTGTCACTGAATACAGGAAAGGGCCCACGTAATGTGACAGAACGGCGCGAAACTGCGCACCATGGCATCAGGACCGGAACGCTAAGCGGAGTGCAAGTTCGTCTGCTTCTTTTGTTTGTGGTGATGTCAGAATGCCGAGCTCTTATTGGCTCCGACGGAAGGATAGTGGGTAGACCTGAAGGCAGCTTGATTTGAGGTCTAGTGACCCACTATCCTTCCAATCACAGCCGATCAGAGCTCCGCGTTCTGATATAACCACGACTCTAGCAAAAGAAGCAGACGAACTTGCACTCCGCTTACCATGCAGAACCGCGGTGCCTCTGCAACGCGTCTCCGAGCAGTGTGTTTAGCGTCCTATGCTGCCCACACATTAAAAGTGGTCCCGAAATCGCAACAAATGACTTCATAAACGTCCAAGTGTCACACTGATTGGATGTCGCGAACCTGGCGGTTGGTCGTGCAAAAAGCAGCGCGCGAAGTCCTGCATGTTTATCCTTGCCTCCGCACATCCACCACGTGAAACTAAAGACAGAGATGATAGAGCAGTTCCTCGCCTGCCATCGCCCGCTCGCCTGCGCGTTCTCCGTCCCCTCCATCGTCTGCTACAACCGGTTATGTACCTAGCGTCCCCGGTGTTCCGCGCTACCCGTTTTTGCGACGGGTGTACTCGTCTCAGGTTTGAAGCCATCGAACTTTTATCGAGGGGGGCCGTAACGGAGATTCGAGGCATGCTTAGGTCAAAGGAAGGTACTCACTGGTCCAGCGGTTCATCAGCAGCTGCAAGAAACAAGAGCAGGTGATTAGATTCCGGAAAAGGTGACTTTCAAGAACAGCGTTTGAACAACTGCGATATTAATAACTCGAGTCACAAATACGCTGCGCTTCAGAGCAACGACAATTCCGCCATCTTGTTGCCGAAAAAATCCTTCTCGTCAGTCACGTTAAAAGCTTCGTCTAGAATCGCAGAAAGCGCTTTTCCGTCCCCCAGAAATGTTCGAGCAGTCCGAGAGAGAGAGTAATAGCGATGTTACCTGAACTTCCAACACCATATCTAAAGATCAGAGAGTCGTATTTGAGAATCGTGACCTTCACCAATCACGACTGCTCTGCACTCTATATAGGCAACAAAATGGCGGCGCCCAAGAGAAAATCGGAAAGTGGGGCGTTGATAGTCAAAGCATATAGCTTCTTTAGTGCTGTTTCATATAGTGGCCGGTGTGACGCTACCATCTCTCGTGGGCAGTAACGTTTGAATCAACACCAGCCTATTTTCATAAAGCGCTATCGACCAACAGCACTGCTTATAAACAAGCCCGCGTTTACTAAAACAGCCCGCCAATCACAGTTCGCTGCGGCACCAGAGAGTATACACTAATAGAGTCGAATTTATTTATTTATTTACCCTCAAGGCCCCGAAGGGTATTACAGAGGGGAGTGGGGGGGGGGGGGGGGGGGGGGGGGGATTAGGTGACAAGGGTACAGTTGTTGATACATAAAATATAATACAGTAATTAATGCACGCTTGCTCAGACACTTCAAAAAAATTTACACAATGTTATAACAGTAATACCAACTGGAAAATGGTCAATCAAAATGAACAAACAATGCATTTTTAAAATCAATAATACTGGTTGTGGAGGCTATGTCAGCGGAAAGGCGATTCCAATCAGAGCTAGTGCGAGGGACAAAGGAGTTATAATAAGTTTTAGTTTTGTAATTTGGGATACCGACTTTGTGCTGGTGATCTACGCGGGATGAAACATAAGTAGGTGGCGTTAGAAGTTCACAACGCATGAAAGGGTTATTATGGTAAATCTTATGAAATAAAGTAAGGCGGGAAATGCGTCTACGGTTCATTAGTGTGGGTAAACCAAGGCTATTTTTCATTGAAGTAACACTGGATGTACGATGGTAATTACAGAGTATGAAACGTGCTGCACGATTTTGAACTGATTCCAATGTTGCAATGATAGTATTATGACAAGGGTCCCAGATAGAACATGCATATTCAAGTTTAGTACGTACTAAAGTAGTATATAAAAGGAGTTTTAGTGACACTGGTGACTGTGAAAAATTTCGTTTGAGATATCCAAGCAAGCGATTGGCGTTGTTAGTTACGTAGTCAGTGTGAGTTTCCCAGGAAAGATCAGAAGTTATGTAAACACCTAAGTATTTGTAAGAGGACACAGACTGGAGCGGAGTGTTGTCAATCTAGTAATTCAAGCATATGTTAGTATGACGGGAAACTCTCATGAATTTACATTCATTAAGATTGAGTTGCATCAACCACTTGTCGCACCAGTTAGATACAGAGTTAAGATCAGATTAGAGAACAAAGATGTCAGAGTTATCAGTTATTTCTCTATATAGTACACAATCATCAGCAAATATACCAATATTAGAGGAGATACATTCAGACAGATCATTAATATAGATGAGGAAAAGTAGCGGACCTAAAACAGAACCGTGGTTGTATAGAAACTACCGGCCATAAACAATTCGTTTGCTGATTTCCATAGATGGGCAAGGCCACGCCGTCTGCGGGCCGAAACAGCATTTTATCACCACAACTTAACAGTCAACGCAGTGTTTCTGTTTCGTCACTTTACCTCTGCAATGCGCTCCACATGCTCCGAGACCGATTTTGAACTGAAGTCAAGGCACGAGCCTAATCCCCATAATTTCAAGGTCGACACTCCATACACATTCAGTGCCTTCTTTTCTAGTGGCCCCCATGGCCACCAAATTAGGCCCAGGACTACATGGTTTCTTTAAAACAAGAAAATCAATCAATCAATGCTCGCTTCTTAAAATACTGTTCAAATGTAAATCCCACATAAGCCAATACTGGCTTGTGCGCCTTTGCGTTTTTATTAGAGAATTATAAAACTTACACGAGAGGGCGCGATTGCAAAATAAATGGAGTTTCTATATACACAGAAAAAAAAATATAGTTACCGTCTATTACACTAATTCATTAAACAGCAGTAATCTGTAAGATATGTTGGATTTTGGCTTTTCTTGCGTCACGTCGTTAACTACAACTACTATGTCAAAGCGAACCTATTCTCTAGGGCAATGGTCCTCATATAGGGATCCGCGGACCATTTTTGGTCCGCGAAGGCACTCTATGGGTCCGTGAGCCCTGCCTCATCAGTCAAGCCCGGCAATAAAAGTTGTCTTTATTTCAGATTGAGAAGAAACGTTCCAATTTTCGGGCAGGGTTTCTCATGTGCGTGTCAATGAGCAAAGTCTACTTCTACTAGTCCTTAGTTATATACAAATATTCAATCATTATCATAATTTTTGACCTACACCTTTTCCTTCCGCCCGTCACGAACGGGGTCCTCCATTCTCTGCGCCGATCCACAAGGGGTCCGCGAAACATCAGTGGTTGAGACTCACTGCTCTAGGGTTTGCTTTTTACTCTGTGTAAGTAGCCACATTTTTGACAGCTTTTTTTTTTGTATTAATTCACGTAATTTGCGCAATTCATTCAAATATTGATTACATAATAATTTATTGTGGCCTCTTCATATTTGGTATAAACAAATGTTTCAGTAAATTTTTTATTCGGTCTTAACGTTCTTCCTTTGCCATTTCCCACTTTTTTTGTTGTTAAAAAATGATTTATTAAAATACCATGCTTCATCTGGTCTCTAAAACGCAACATTCATAGGCCTTTATGCACGTAGTTTTGCAGAACAGTTTCTTCACTTGGGTAACCCATATTTGGACATCCCTTTTTGGGGGGAAATCGATTCTATTTTAGTTGTAAATATTTGGTACAATGTTTGCAGACTGTTATTCCATACTGAAGTATGGACTCGCCCAGTCAATTGTATAGCATTCTTAGTAATTACTAAGAATGCTATACAATTGACTGGGCGAGTCCAGTCAATTGTAGGTCGAGGTCGAGGGCCAGATTTTGTATGTGATACATCTGCGCCATTAATATCCCTGATTTTTTTACAAATTTGTTCTACATGAATATCCCATTTAATATGTTTGTCTATGAGCAGCCCGAGGTATTTGAGATTATCAGCGCATTTCATCGGAACGCATGAGCAATAATTGCAATTCTGCTCGCGCATTTTTTTTCTTCTTTTTTGTAATTCAGTTAGGATTTGTTTTCTCGAGTTTCCGAAGCATAATACTTGCGTTTTTGGAACGTTTACAACAATTAGATTATTTTCGGTACCATTTTGTTATTTTATAAATGTCTTCTTGTATCATCTTTGCAGATATTTTTTGTGTGCATCTTAGAATTAGAATAGCTCACTTTTTAATTGGACTTGGGCTATCTCATTAACGTATAAATTAAAAAAAAGTAGTGGATCAAGTACTGTACTTGCAGTACGCCCTATTTGATTCTCATTTCTCTGCTATATTTTCAGCCTAATTGTACTATTTGATACCGGTCATTAAGATAATTCTGAAATAAGTCACGCATATTTCCCCGAATACCAATACTGTGTAACCTATCTAGTAATATATGATGGTTTAATGTTTGAAATTGCCCTACTAAAGTGTATGAATATAACCAGAACATATCAACTTCTGTTCATATTTTCATTAGTAAAAATAAACTATTCTAACAGGTTACTGGTTCCTATGCACTTCCTGGCCCATCGTGCTAGTTAATAAATTATATTTTGAAAAATAGCTCCGAAGCATTATTTTAGTGGGTCCTAAGGACCTATTTAAAGAAAAAAAAAACTATAGCGGTCAAGCAATAAAGATTGATGCTTCTTTTAATATGGACACCTCGGCTTCCCCCCCAAAAAATTGTCCATAATGTGAGTTGTCCATATCAACGAGAACACAATGCATGCAGTTAACTATACTCTGTTTCACCTTGTGTCGTATCGCAGAAAAGGTTACAAGCGCGAGCTCCTTGCTTCAGGGTACATCTCGGCGGCACAAGATCTCGTGCACCAAGGGCAGCTGCCAACGCTACGAGCTCGCGCTTCTAGCCTTCGCTGCGGTACAGCATAAAGTGGAACGGAATATAGTTAGTCCCCCAAAAATGTGTCTATATGAAATGCTAGAAATGCTAGAAACGCTAGAAATGCACTTCTCAAAGCCATGAGCGCGGGCTAGCCTCGCGCTTGTATCTTTGGCTGCAGTCCCAGCTTAAGGGGTATTCACACGAGGGAGAAATCCCGGGGATTTCTCCCCGGCACGCGCATCCTACGACGAAAACGTCAGGCTTTGCGATGTGCAAAAGCCTCGCGTTTTCATCTCGTGATGCGCGCGTGCCGGGGAGAAATCCCCGGGATTTCTCCCTCGTGTGAATACCCCTTTACAAGTAAGCACAAATGGATTGCGAGCCTGCTAAAGATACCTTCGCATGCATGCTGCGCGAACTTGATGCTTGTAGGTGTCGGGTGTGTGTTTGTCTTGTCGCCCTAGTGGGAACCGAGTGTAAGGAACCGAAACTTAGTGTTGGGAAGTACTTCAAGTACATTGTACTTAAAGCACTACTTTAAGTAGGTTCAGAAAACGTCTAATTTCATTTACGTACGTTCTCTGCGTGTGTACTTGTACTCTACTTGAAGCGTCCTTTGTTTTCTGGTACTTTCCAAGTAAAGTACAACGTCCGATTTCAAAGTACATTCCCCAAATTTCGTCTCGGTGAAATTAAGCTCTTTTAAGGAATACACGTTCGCGTTTTTGACTTTCGCAGTACTGTATTCAACTTCTGAGGTCGAGTATCAAAATTAAGTAACCTCTAACAAAAAAAAAAAAAAAAATATGGCGTATCGTTGTGTGAA